GGCATTTCTAAGGTCCCCTCGCAGCCTTCTCTTCTCCAGGCTGAACAAGCCCAGCTCCCTCAGCCTCTCCTCGCAGGAGAGATGCTCCAGTCCCCTCCTCATCCTTGTAGGCCTGCGCTGGACTCTCTCCAGTAGCTCCTCATCTTTCTTGAACTGGGGAGCCCAGAACTGGACTCTCTCCAGCAGCTCCTCATCTTTCTTGAACTGGGGAGCCCAGCACTGGACCCAGCACTGCAGATGGGGCCTCCCAAGGGCAGAGTAGGGGGGGAGGAGACCCTCCCTCGCCCTGCTGCCTGCACTCTTCTTTCCTGAGCCCTGCTTTTGTACTCTTCCAGTTCCCGGACGAGACCCTGCGAAGCGGCGAGCTGCTGAACATGATTGTAGCTGTCATCGACTCATTCCAGGTGAGGAGGGGAGCGGTGTCTGGGCTGGGAGGCAGCACGTTCTTGAAGCAGCAGCACTCGGCTCCTCCGCTCCCGGGAGGTTTACACCTGAAATGGCTGATCTGGTTTAGTCCTCCTTGCCCTGGTTCTTGAGTGAGGCATTGAGCTTTGCGAAGAGGAGCCCCAAAACCTCCGGGTATCTCTTTCCCACAAGGAGCTGCGGTGTCCGAACACGGAATCCCAGCTAGTGCTGCCGCGGGCCATCAGTAATCATAATTATGAATAACGAAGGAGGGTGCTTGGTGCTGCGGTGGAGCCGCAGAGCTGCGGGCAGCGTCACAACGGGAGGGCGCAGGAAAGGGGCTGGCAGGGCTGAGACGGCGCCCAGCTCTTCCCTTCCTGGTGGGAGATCCGCTGCGGGCTCCGTAGGCTAACGAGCGGAAGGCCAAGCCCTCGTTAGAGCCTCCTGGAAGGAACCTTTCCCCATGGTCACGCTGAGTTGCCATGAGCAACCCAAAAATAGTCGCAGCGAAAGCTGAGGGCGGGGAGGTGGGCACCGGCAAGAATGCTGTCCTGCGTGCTTCTGCTGTCGAGGCTCGTCTGGAGCGTGATCTGCCGATAACCCCTGAACTCGCCCTGTTTATGCTCCATTCCTGGCCAGTCGTGCTTTTCCCAGCTGCGCGGGGGCCAGAACGCCTCGCCGGCAAGTTTTGCTTGGCAGGCTGGAGCCGAAGCTGGGTCCAGGAAGGGTTTGAGTCCTGATGCCCTGACCCCCCCAGCTCAGCCCTGCTCTCACCCCTCTGCTCCCGGGCTCTGCCCCGGGCTGAAATGCGAAGGTTTTGTTTTTCCCAGCAGAGGCCTGTAGCGTTTCCTCTCCCCTCCCTCCTCCAATTCCTTCGTTCCTTCCTGTTATTCTTCATCTGTTTCCCCGCGATGCTCTGGCTGCGTGGCCCCCGTGCCTGGTCCGTGTGGGGTCTGCGAGCAGAGCTGCAGGGCAGAGCCTGGGCAGCTCAGCCTGCATCCAGAGCCTGCGCCCGAGCAGGCTGCACCCAGAGGCCGAGGAGCAGGGAGGAAGGCAGACGAGAGCCAAGGTATCCAGAGCCTGCGCCCGAGCAGGCTGCACCCAGAGGCCGAGGAGCAGGGAGGAAGGCAGACGAGAGCCAAGGTGCACTCTGTAGCCGAGCCCGTCGATGCGGGAGCCGGGAACGGGGCTCCCCAGCTCCTGTCCCCACTCCAGTGCACCCCGGGCAGGCTCCCCGCGTGTCCCGACCTCTCCCAGGGATGCAGGGGGGGAGTCCGTGCGGGAAGCACCGCGCGTCTGGGCAGCGTCAGCTCCCGTCCTGCAGACCAGGGACGATCGGGGCCCCGAGCAGAGAGGATCTGCTCTCTGTCCTGCGTGACGCTTGCTCTCCAGCCTGGGTGTTGATGTGTGAAGCCATTCACCTCCCCTTGCTTCTCTGCGTCT